TACAGCATATGTGAACACAGGAAATCAATGGGCAGACCTGTTTACCAAAGGGTTGAATCGGGGAAGAGTGGACTACATATGTAACAAGCTGGGACTATATGACATATACTCRCCARCTTGAGGGGGAGTGTTAGAGTCGGCTGTACAAGGGTAGTACAGTCCTTTTATGTTTAGTTATATATGTACTGCTCTGTTGATGTGGCTCTCACTTAAGTGAGGGCACACTGGTAATCCTTGTATATCTTAGAAGAGTATAAATAAAAGAAGGGCCGACTAGAGGTTTTGAGATTTTACTCGCTAGTTCGGCTGTGGCTTTTCTCCTTCTTTTTCTTCGCTTTCTCCTTCTCCTTCTCTTTCTTCTGATCTGAACATATACGAACATCTAATCTGAGTTTTATAATTAATCTTTTACTTTGAATCAATATAAGAACGTTAGTTAATTGCTTAGGGCAGAACGAGATGGTTTCAGTTGTTTTGCATGGTAGAATTTCCATAAAACAAGTCAGGATTGACTAGCGTTTTTTCTTTATGGTGGTTGGCCAATATCTCTTTGTTAAATAAAGAGAGGGTATAGTTGTTATAGTTGGTAGAATATATATCCACATTATGGCAGACTGTCAATTGGTTCTCGTTGTACCAAGCTGGATTGCTTTCGGCTTTAACATTCTAAAAGCTTCAAAGTTGCAAACGGCACTAAGGGATATACCTCAAATATGAAGTTTTGACTGCTAAACACAAATTGTTTTCACAGAAGTGGACATTTAAAGTTGCAACTTTAGTGCAACAGTCTTAGATATTAAATGGACAATGCCAGTTGAAAGATGATTGTACTGGATGCATATTCAATTGCAAAGTGAGCCAGAGTAAGAAAATTTTAATTATAAATTCCATGGTAAATTTAGAGCAGAAATAGTCTAGCCAATTTTGTTATTGATGGGAAAGTGTAGGCTCTTTTGTGTTAGTTTGAAAACTCCTTATTAATCAAGAAAAAAGAGGTCCAATTGGATAGTATAAAACCTATTTTAGTTCCATTAGCTCAAGACCTCAGGTATGGAGATCTCTTCCATATTTTCAAGTTTTGGGTTGCATTTATGATTGTTTGAGTTGTGAAGTTACATTTATTTTCTTCCACATATTGTTTGAAGAATTCCAATTTTGTCATATGTATGGAAATGCTCTTTTGAGGTTTTAAAATCAGTAGGACTAAAACAGAGTATATGACATGTAAATTTAGTAACAGTAGGAGTGTAAATCAGGATACACTTAAGATTGGAGACCAAGAGATAACTCAATGTGAATATTTTTGGACCTTGGATCAATAATTCATAACAAGGGAGAGGTTGAGAAGGGATGTCACTCAAAGAATAAGAGCAGGTGGGGCAAAATGGAGTGGTGCATCTGGACTTTTCTGTGATATGAGAATACCACTTAAATTAAAAAGAAAATTCTACAAAACAGTTGTAAGGCCAGCTATGCTGTATGGAGCAGACTGTTTGGCAGTCAAGAAACAACATGTTCAAAAAAATGAGTGTGGAAGAAATGCCAATGCTAATATGGATGAGTGGAGAAACTAGAAAGGATAGGATCAGGAATGAAGCCATCAGTAGAAACCTAGGAGTAGCTCCAATAAATGATAAAATATGAGACAGAGTATACTAAGATGGTTTGGTCACATGCATAAAACACCAACAGATCTAGTTAGAAGAAGTGATTTGTTACAAGTGGAAGGAGTTAGAAGATCTAGGGGTAGAGCAAAAAAAGGACGTGTAGAAGTAGTAAGAAATGATTTAAGCACTAATAATTTAACAGTGGATATGACTTTAAATAGAACGGATTGGCGAAACAAGATTCATCATTCATGTAGACGACCCCATATAGTTGGGATAAGGCATAGATGATGATGATGGTGATGGTGATGGAAATGCTGTTTTCCCATCATTTGATAATAGGATTGATTTAAAGATTGTGAACAACAATGTTTTTTTCATTTCTTTCAGTAATTATTAGCATCATGAAAGAAAGTGATTTTGGCATGGAATATTTCCCTATTTCCCTTTTGTGCTTGATGTCCTTGTTCTGTTCTTTAGATACCCAATGTAATTTTCTGTTTTCCTAATATTGGATATATTTCAGGTTTGATTTATTTTTCCGTAGGAACCCGTTTGGTGGTGAATATACTGTGTTTGCTGGTCTTGAAGAATGCGTTCAGTTCATTGCTAACTTTAAATTTACAGAGGAAGACATCTTATATCTCCGCTCATCCCTGCCTAATTGTGAGGTGAAGTAATTTTATTAACTATCATGTATATGTTCAATCTATGGCCCTCTTTTGATATACTGAATATATGGTTGGATATATCATGATACATGTTCTGGTTCTAATTTATCACTTGAAGCAAGTAGTAGGATTAAGAAATTCATTGGTGGTAAAATCAAAACCCAGTAGCAGAAACTTCTTAAGTACTTGGTTTGTGTCAGAGAAAGGAATTCTCAGAAATATCTAAATTTTAATTCCTAAAGTTTGTCCTATATTTATTTAACAGAAGGCATGGCCCTGAAAATAGTGGAGTTATAGAACAAGATTTATATAGTTTTTTTTTTTATAAGTATGGTTTCTGTATTAATGTAGAGGGAGAGGCTCCTTCAACAAAATATGTACACTAGTATACTGACTGTATATAAAAGAAAAGAGCTGGGATGAGTTGAGGCACTAGGTACATTTTTATGTTGTGTATTACTTACCACCACAAAAGGGTGCAAGGATGCTAATTTCCATTAGGGGAATAAGCAACAAAAAAAAGTTGTCAATCTTAGACCATGTTTGGTAGTGCTTAAAAATAAGTGCTTTCGTAAGGGTACTTTCTTAAAAGTGCTTTCGTAAAAGTACTTTTATAGAAGTGCTTTTGTAAAAGTGTTTTCACAAAACTAATTTTATAAAAGTGCTTTCATAAAAGTACTTCCATAAAAGTGGGTAGAAAAGTTTGGACAACCTGTTTTGATATAAAAGCTATAAAAGAAAGAAGAAAAAGGTTTCAATTGAGAAAGAGAGAAGAGAGAAGTGAATGGGAGAAGCTCAAGATTAGGTCTGGCTGCCCCTTTCATTAGATTATATACTCATAAATAAAAGAGAGCACAAAGACAAGTATGCCCTTAGTAAGTCGGCTACTTGTGAGAACTTAAAACATAAACTAATGAGCCTAAGGCCCAATAACTCCCTAACTATGCTATGTAAATAAAAACATGTTATATTAGCCCAAAACTCAACACTCCCTCTCATGTTGGGAATAAATGTCACACATTCCCAACTTGCGTAGATCATGCTCCGACTTGTTTCTTGCAACTTCCTTAGTAAGAACATCAACAAGCTGCAAGTTAGATGCAACATATGGCAAGCGAACTTCTCTGGATGTCACCCTTTTCCTTATAAAGTATCTATCCACTTCTATATGCTTCGTCCTTCTAAAGAATTTATCTTGTGGTTCTGATCAATAGGTGTATCAGCTGCCCTTGCCCCAAGTTTTCCTGTCTCCTATAGTAGATCTAGAACATAATTCCTCTGTGACTCTGTAAGATGAAGATCCCATGGTTGGACCTTGCCACTTCAATGCCCAGAAAGTACTTCAGCTCCCCAAGATCCTTAATCTCAAACTCTTTGTGCAAATTCTTCTTCAGGGTATCAATCTTACTCAAATCATTTCCTGTGACTACAATGCCATCCACATACACTATTAAAACTGACACCAGTGACCCCCTCCTTTTCACAAAAAGAGTATGATCAGATTGGGTTTGAGTATAGCCAAATATAACCAATGCACTTTTAAACCTGTCAAACCAAGTTCTGGGTGATTACTTTAAACCATATAGAGACTTCTTCAACTGGAATACCTTTCCTTTTTCCACATTATTGTAGAAGCCAGCTGGAAGGTCCATATACACCTCCTACTACAAGTCTCCATTGAGAAAGGCATTCTTCACATCAAGCCGGAAGAGTGGCCAAGAGTATGTAGCCGCTAGTGATAGAAGAATCCGAACTGAACTCATCTTTGCCACTGGTGCAAAAGTTTCCAAGTAATCTATGCCATAAGTCTGAGTATACCCTTTTGCAACCAGCCTCACCTTGTACCTTTCTATAATCCCATCAGCCTTGTACTTCACTGTATAAACCCATATGCATCCAACTGTCTCCTTTCCATCAGGAAAATCCACAATCTCCCATGTCTAATTTTTAATCAATGCTTTCATTTCCTTCTGCATAGTTGTCTTCCACTCAAGTTTGGAGAGAGCCTCACTAACACTCCTGGGGATAATCCACTGTAGAAAAGATAGTGTGAGAAGCAATGAGAAGTACACTTCCTCTTCCCTTTTTTTAGGGCAATGGGGAGATCGAGGTCATCTGCGATGGTGTTAGGAGTAGGGGTAGTAGTATCAATAGGAACTAAACCATCAGGGGGAACAAGAGGAATACCTGGGTCTGTATCAGTCGAACATGGAATCTCCGATGAGCTGATAGGGAGTGACGTGGGTTCCTCTACTATGGAATCAACCTCCCTGTGCTGTCGTAGGCGCTGTTGTGTAAAACATTGAGAGATAGGGCGCAATGGAGGTGGCAAAGTGGGTGAGATAGGTAGGTTAGACACTGGAGTAGACAAAGGAGTTGGAACAGGAAGTGGTATAGATTGCTCACTTCCTTCTCCAAAACACTCCCCTGAGAAGAACCCCTCGAGAAAAAAAGCTGTGGGCTCAAAAAAGGTGACATCCATAGTAACATACCGACTCCTGGAGATGGGATCATAACAATAATACCCCTTCTGGTTTCTTGCATACCCAAGGAAGACACACTTCTTCGCCTTAGGATCCAACTTTGAGCAGTGAGGACCAAGAACATGGACAAAGCATACACATCCAAACACCCTTAGAGGAATATGGAATGTCTCCCCCTCAGGAAAAAGAAGGCTGAACGGAGTGCTATATCCAAGAACACGAGAAGGCACCCGGTTAATCAAGAACATTGTTGTAAGAACTGCATCACCTTGAAAACAAATTAGAACTGTAGAGCTCAACATCATGCTTCTTGCTACTTCCACAATATGTTTGTTCTTCCTTTTTGCTACACCATTTTGTTGTGGAGTGTATGTACAACTGCTCTGATGGATAACTCCATGCTCCAATAGGTATGATGCTAGGTTTTTTTCAAAGTATTCCCTGGTATTGTCTGATCTAAATACTTTCACTCGTACCCCAAATGGTGTCAACACTATTTGATGGAATTGTTGAACCAAAGACGTTACCTCATCACGGGATCTCATCAAATATATTCAAGAGTACCAATAATAATCATCCACAAATAGAAGAAAATACCAATAGCCACCCATAGAGGAAACATGGTATGGCCCCCACACATTGGTATGAACAATATCAAAAACAGATGAACGTCTTTTATTACTTTCTTTAAAGGAATGTCTACAATGCTTTCCAAGTTGACAACTCTCACATTCCAAACTGGAAAAACTAACAGACTCAAACAATTTGGGAAACAAAAAATGCAAAGAAGTAAAAGATAGATGTCTTAACTGATTATGCCAAAGCATTAATCTGACCCACTAACTCTGACTCAATACTCCTGCTGATCTGATGACTGGGAAGCGCATCAAGGAGATAGATTTCATTCACCTCATGACCACTCCCAATCGTCTTCTTTGATTCCAGATCCTACAAAACACAATGACCAGGGAAAAAATCATAGAATAGTTCAAATTCTTTGTCAAGCTACTAACAGATAAAAGATTAGTGCTCAGTCTAGGAACATGAAGGACAGAAGATAGGGTAATGGTATCAGTTATCCTGACAGACCCTTTCCCAGCAATGGAAACATGTGATCCATCAGCTGTGGAAGCTCTATCTCTACTAGAGCACAGGTTGTATGAGATGAAAATGGTGGAAATGTTGGTCATATGTTTTAAGGCTCTTAGGTCTATAATCCAGGGAGGTTCCCCCTTACCTGTAGTGGACACATAATTTGTAATAGCATGTGAACTACCTGTGTGTGCAAACGAGGTAGAATGACTACCTCCTGATCCACTTACACCTTGTTGTCCACCTGATAATGAGTTGGAATTGGTCGTATCTTTCTGATTTAGAAACTACCCATATCTCTCCAATTCGACCCTCACTACAATTGCTGCAACAAACTTTAGAGAGGCTGTAGTAGGTGGCCCCGATAAATCACCAGTCACTGCCATATTCGCATTTCCCTTCTTATTTCTAAGCCGGCTCAGTACAAGGTGTGGGTAGAGCTTCCAGCAGGTATCTCTGGTATGTTTGGGTTTCTTACAATAGTCACAGATCAGATCCCTTTTGTCCTCCTTCCTCAATTCATTTCCACCCTTGTCCCCACTCGACTTAGGCTTCACTGTGCTAACCATAGCTGACTACTCAAGGCCTGGGTTCCTCATCATCACATTCCCCCTACTCTCCTCTCCAGATACAAGTATAGAAAGAGTTACACTGTCTCGGAAAAGAATATGCTATCGTGCAATAGCATAATCAGGGTTAAGTCTAGCTAAAAACTCAAAATCCCTATTCTTCTCTACCAACTTTTGATAAGTTGTTGCACCTTTGCTACTTTCCCAAACCACAATCTCCAAATAACTTATCTCTTAACATAAGGTTTTGAGGGCTGAAAAATAAATAGCAACAACCTTATTTCCCTGCCTAGTACTGGTTTCTCAACTAAAAGGCTCTAGCAACATTCTCATTCTATGAATAGGTTTCTGCTACTCCATCCCAAATCTCCTTAGTTGTATTAGCCCATAAAAGTTCTTATATGGGGCAACATGGAATTGCATAGCCAAGTCATCACCATTTAGTTCTCCTGTACCCACCAAGAATGGTTAGCTTCAAGTTTCTTTTCCTCATTGGTGACATACCCCAATTTCCCACGAGCACCAATGGCCATCTTTGTAGATTGTGACCATTCTAAGTAGTTTGTATCATCCAACTTAACTATAGTGATGGTCCTGGCCCCGAAGAAGTCTCCAATACCTCCTTTCCCGGATCCCATTTCTCCTATAAATTTGTTTTCAACTCCATAGCCCTCCATAACTCCTAGAATAGATTAGGAAATCAATTTGAGATGAAAAGAAAGGTATTTATCTCCTTTAGAAACCTCAAACACCCTCCTGGAACCTTAGAAGCCCCTCCCTCCAAAGATTCCTTTTTTCATGGGGGAGGGAGAAGAGAGATAAGAGGCTATCGCTCCCTCCAAAGACCTCCAAAAAGGCTAGGACTTGAACTGCCCCCTTCAGAAAAGCTCAAGGAACCCTAGAAAACTAGATCACTACTTCCTAGGTCAAAATTGAAGAGTCCTACTAAAATAGAACTCTCCCCCTTTCTCCAGTTTTTCCTGATTTTGGTGTAAAACCCTAGACCAGCTACAAGGGATTGCAATTCCACCAAAAAAAAGCCAAAACTGGGCTTACCTAAAGTCATTGATCAGCCCTTTACCTTATCATGCAGTCGGCCGATCTAGGGCTGCATGATGGAGCAGCTCAATAAATCTTTAAACTTGCTCTGATACCAAGTAGAAAAGTTTGGACAACCTGTTTTGATATAAAAACTGTAAAAGAAAGAAGAAAAGAAAGAGAAGAAAAGGTTTCAGCTGAGAAAGAGAGAGAAGAGAGATAGAAGAGAATGGTTGAAGCTCAGAATTAGGTCTAGTTGCCCCTTTCAAGAGATTATATACTCATAAATAAAAGAGAGTACAAAGACAAGTATGCCCTTAGTATGTCGGCTACTTGTGAGAACTTAAAAACACTCTTAACTTAAAACATAAACTAATGGGCCTAAGGCCCAATAACTCCCTAACTATGCTATGTAAATAAAAAACATGTTATATCAGCCCAAAACTCAACAAAGTGTTTTTATAAAAGTACTTTCATAAAGTGTTTTTATAAAAGTAATTTAATAAAAGTGCTTTCAAAGAGTATATTTTGAAATTTTGAAAGAAAATGAAGGACAAAATAGCCACATGTGCTTACTTAAGTGTTTATTAGAGAAAAAAAGACTACCAAACACCCAATACAAAATAAGTGCTTCTTTAAAAAAATAAGCACTTGAAAAAGTTGGGTGCCAAATGCAAATAAGTGCTTTTTCGAATAAGCACTTGTTTTTAAGCACTTATTTTTAACTTAAGCACTCCCAAACATGGCCTTAGATGCCAATTTCCACAATCTCCATTAGAGTGCCTAGGATTTGATGTTGTCTATGGCCCTTTGCTTTTGGCCCCATGGATTTTCTTTATAATATTTAACAAAAGGAAACAAATCTATCTTGGTTGGTAGTAAGTTTTCCATGCATTGACCATGTAAGGCATGAGGTGAGGAGCTAGGTTATGAAGATGTCAGGGCCATGAGCCTTAAATTTCTGAAGGTTTCAGGCCTGAGCTTCATGTGTCCTCATTTCTTCTAAGTAAACATGAATTAAAATAAGAAGCATTGTTGAAACATGTATAGACGTATTATGTTTTGATATTAGTTTTGAACAGCATAATGATGCTTGATCATCTCAAGAGGAAAGGCTTAAATATGGTAAGTATGTCTGTGCATAGGTATGAGGAATCCATGAGACGTCTTTCCATCTTATGCAGGATGGCTTCATACATATGCATGAATCTAGTCTCTCTTTAGGAGAAAAGTTATTAATCCTGAGCTCCCTCAGGAGATTTCATGGACATGTTTTATAGTGGTACTAGAGTTTAGAACCAAGATCCCCTTTGTACTACATTGGGGGATATGGAACAGGAGGTGTTCAAGGCAATTGTATGCCATATCAATTTGCCTGACTTGTATGGATAACATAGCTCAATAAAGAAATTGGTGAATTAAAGGAAACACTGGATGGGACAAATACAGGTTTATCTCATTCTTGTCTGGATTTTGGTCCTTCCAGACTTTGAAAGATGTGGATTGAACTATTTGGAATAATTTCAGAATGTTTTTAATGTTTTGTAGAGAATTATATAGACACTCTTTGGCTTTATCTCGGCACAATATTTCTTCTTGTATGTCGTTTTTCTGTTTTAATGAAATATTTCCTGCAAAAGAGTATGGAAGTGCATGTTGATAGATGTAGATTGCCTAAACTACTTTTGCACATTAATAAGATGCAATAGATTTCATTTATAACAAAAGAGTATTTTTTTAGATGCACTATATCTATATTCAATTAAACTATGTTTTTAAACTGCATAATATGTGCTTTTTTCTAGGATGGCTTTTTTGATTATCTCAGAGGAATCAACTGCTCTGATGTTGAAGTGTATGCTATTTCTGAGGGGTCAGTTGTTTTTCCAAAGATACCCTTATTGAGGGTTGAAGGACCAATTGCTGTGAGTACCATCAAAGTGGCTCTTTCTCTAGGGTTATTGTTGGAGATACTATTGACGGGTATCCATCATATGTTATGCGTTATGCTAAAACTTCAATTATGCTTATTTTCTCAACAGCTAGAATTTTGAAAGTTTTTTTTTTGCATAAAACACCTGAATCTCTCTCTCTCTCTCCTTCTTTTTAAGGTGGTTCAACTCTTGGAAACTCCTTTTGTGAATCTTATCAACTACGCATCATTAGTTGCTACAAATGCTGCGAGACACCGGTTTGTTGCAGGGAAGTCCAAAGTTCTACTTGAGTTTGGGCTTCGACGAGCACAGGTTTGCTTCTTATTTTTGAATCTGAAAGCCCTTAATCGATTTTATCTTTATTTGGAAAACGTATTTTCCTATCTTATGTAGGGACCTGATGGTGGAATAAGCGCATCAAAATATTGCTATATTGGTGGATTTGATGCCACAAGGTTATTCTTCTTAAGACATTGTTAAAACAATGGTCATAATTTTTTTGAATGCATACTGATGTCAGTCTTTGATATTTAGTACTTGTCCAAATTGGTTCTCCATTAAGTGTTACTTTCTTTTGAAAGGTTATTTATACTGTGGATGTATATTGAATTCATTTATAGTTGCATATCCATGGATCACCACATTAGGGTTTATCTATAGTGAAGTAAAAAAGCATGTAACAAAGTTAGAACTTTTCATCAGGCATATCCTTCTTCCACTCATTCTAACTTCTTAGATTATGCATTTGATGTTGATCCAAGGGTATCAAACCCATTGGAATCCTCGACCCCTAGGGATTTGCACCATTGATGGAGTTTGGGGGATGTATCATGGTTGTATAGTCTCACAGGGACCATTTTCCTCTTGTTACAAGATTGTAGACTTTACCAATTAGAATTCAATTTTTTTTTTCAAAATTTATCAATTTAGGAAATCACTTGTTTTAAGAAGGTTGTTAAGTTCACCACTGTAGAGAAGATGGGCCGAATGGCCCATAGGCTGTTTATCCTTTTTTATCTTTTATGTTCTTTGCTGTAATGGACCTTAATCTGGGATTTATTCTTTCTAATGTTTTCTTTCTTATGTTATGTCTTTTTAATTTTCTGCCCAACTAGGGGCTTCTCTGTAAATTACCAAAGTTTAACTTAATGAAATAGAATTAAGGGAGTAAGAGAAGAGATTATGTTAGAAAATCTCTCTCTCTGAACCCAAGTTGCTGCCACCTTCTTCTTCTTCTTCTTCTCTCCTCTTGAACTCTGATTTCTGCTACTTTCTTTTGAATTTTTGCAACTTTCTAAACAGTAATTTCTTCTCAAAAGGCTGTTTTTCTTCTTGGTATCAGAGCAGGTTCGTTTTTCCCTTTTTTTTCTCACCTTTTTTCCTATACACAGTGTGTATGGAGAACTGAATCGTATGAATAGTTAAAGAAACCTATTTCAGCCCAGTTGTTAGTGGTTTCTGGAGAGAAGGGGACTGGTTTTGTCGTCCTCTTGACAGATTCAAGTGTGTTGCCCGAAACCCTAATTTTCTGGAGAAATCTGATTGCGGGCCCCACAGGGAGTTTGACTTGGGCGCTCAGTGACTGAAGGCTTTCACATTCTCCTTCTTGAAGATAGAATCAAGTGGATTGGTGTTCTGTGAAGTCTACAAGGAGCGGCTAAGTTTTCTCCGTTTCTCCCAACTTCCAGGTGTGACGCAGTTTACTGGTACGGCTGCATAGAGGTTGGCTCACAACACAGTTTTTGTTCTGTCTTCATTTGTTGTTATTCGAAGTTGTTTGAAGTCATTTTTTGAAGTATTTAAGAAGATGAACTCCTCAGACTTTGAAAACAAGCATGTTGCTGAATCCGGGCAGGTTTCGAGAGCCTCTGTAGACTCTCTACTGGCTGTGATCACAGTCAAGCTGGATGGAACTAATTATCTGGCTTGGTCATAATCAGTAAAGATTCATATTTGTAGTAGAGGCAAGTGGGGTTTTATCTTCGGGAGTAAAAAGGCTCCTTCGGAAGATGATCCATCATATGAAAAGTGGATGCAAGAAAATTATATTGTTATTGGATGGCTTGTGAACTCAATGCAACCACAGATTAGTCAGCACTATTTGTGGATGAATTCAGCAAAGGAAATTTGGGATAGTGTTGCTGAAACCTATTCCCAAAAATTAAATGTGTCCTGGATTTACAAGTTGAGAAGTGATGTGAAGAATTTGAGACAGGGGGAGAAACCATTATCTGTATACTTCTCAACACTGAAGTCTTTATGGCAAGAAATAGATTTGATAGAAGCTGTAGCCTGGGACACCACTAATGATACTAAGACCTACATAAAACTGGTTCAGAGAAACAGGGTGTTTGAGTTCTTGACAGGACTAAATCCAGAGTACGACATTACAAAGCAAAATATTTTATCCAAGGATAGTGTCTCACTATCTCAAGCATATGCCTTGGTAAGTAGTGAAGAAAGCAGAAGACTTGTCCAGGTCCAAGGGGTTGGTCTATATGATCACTTTGCTAATATGGGAGTGAAACCCAAGGGGGTTGCAGGGACTCCAAGTAGCTCAGGGAAGAAGGAGATTATTTGTGAGTACTGTAAAAAGCCAAAACACACTAAAGACAAGTGCTGGAAATTGCATCATGAGCTCCTACCACTTCGGTTTCAGAAGAAGTCTGATAATATAAAGGCAGGGAGTGCTAATGTTGCTACTGGTCCAGATAGCGATAGATACCAAACTGAAGAGATGACGGCTAGTGAGCAGTTAGCAGCTATGAAGGCAGAATATGAGAAGTTTGGAAGGATGATCAGTCACATAGAGGGTGTGACCTCTTCTTCCAACCCTCCAGGAAATTCAACCTCTTTTGCATTTGCTCATTTAGGTATACGGGCTTCTGCCAATCATGCAACCATTTTAGGTAATCGTAGGATCCCTTGGATTATTGATTCTAGTGCTTCTGATCATATGACCAACCTTTTTACTTTGTTTGTTTCATATGATTTACTTCCTGGGCGTGACAAAATCACCCTAGCCGATGGCTCTCTTGCCCCTATCTCTAGCAAGGGAACCATCAAGGCTACAGACTCCTTGGTTTTTCCTTCTGCTCTTCATGTACCCAGACTAAATAGAAACTTGTTATCTGTAAGTAACCTAACTAAGTCATTAAACTGTTGTGTAACCTTCTTCCCTTCCTACTGTGTTTTTCAGGATCTAGAGTCTCAGAAGGTGATTGGGAGTGACCGTGAGGCGAATGGAATATATCTGCTGGATACTCCTGGACAGTGCCATGAACAACCTAGAAAAACTGCTTTTGGGTCTACATCTACAGAGTCCATCAGTCGAGTCATGTTATGTCATTTTCGTTTGGGTCATCTTTCTTTTTTTGCATTAAGTCATTTATTCCCAGAACTGTTTAAGGGAATTAGTTTGTCCAGTCTTCATTGTGAGTCTTGTGAACTGTCAAAACATTGTAGAAACAGTTATCCTGTGAGTAATAAAAGATCTTCTTCTCCTTTTAATATTGTGCACTCTGATGTGTGGGGGCCTTACCACTTACCTTCTATGGGTGGCTACAAATATTTTATCTTGTTCATTGATGACTTTTCTCAGTTCACTTGGATATTTTTGATGAAGTCTCATGATGAAGCTCCCAGACTTGTGAGGCAATTCCATGAATTTGTCCTAACCTAGTTTGATACCATAATTAAAATTTTCAGATCCGACAATGCAAAAGAATATTTTGAGAAAAACTTGACCTGCTATCTCGCTGATTTAGGGGTTATTCATCAAAGCTCTTGTGTTAGGACCCCAGAATAGAATGGAGTTGCTGAAAGAAAAAATAGACATATTGTTGAAGTTGCAAGAAGTATTCTATTTGCCTCACATGTCCCTACAAAATTTTGGGGTGATGCTGTTCTCACTGCTACCTACCTTATAAACCGTATGTCATCCAGGGTTTTAGGGTTTAAGTTTCCCTTTAGTCTTCTTCATCCGGACAAGGATCTTTTTCCTATTCCTCTTTATGTCTTTGTCTGCACTTGTTATGTACATATCCCAAGTGTCCAGAGACATAAATTTGAACCAAAAGCCCATAAGTGTATATTCCTTGGTTATTCCCCCACACAGAAGGGTTACTGTTGTTTTGATCCGAAGGCTGGCACTCGGTATGTCTCAATGGATGTCACCTTTGATGAGATTTCTTCCTTTTACGGTTCTTCTCTGGAGAGACATTGTCCAAAGGGGGAGGATTTGTCATAGGTGTTTGCTCTTCCTCTTCCTGTCCCAGTTGAGTCTTTTGCTGAGTCTCTTCCTCCTTCAAATGAGTTAAAGGAGGATCATTCACTTCACTCTCATTCCAGTGTTCCTATTCCTCCTCCTTTACCTCCTTGCCCTCTTTTTAATCCCAGGTTGTATCAACGACAAAGAACCAGAAATGAGCAGATTGTTTCCCCTACAACATATGAGCCTCATGCACTTCCAGTTACAGATGAGACAACAGGTATTGTTACAACCCTTTTGAAGCCATCCTTCCCTGACGTTGATATCCCCATTGCTATTAGGAAAGAAAAAAGGAAGTGTACTGCACATTGCATTTCCAAACACCTTTCTTATAGTTTGCTCTCTCCTTCATATTTTGCCTACCTTTCTTCTGTTGCTTCTAACCCAATTCTCAGGTCTATGTCAGAAGCTCTTAATATTCCAGAATGGAGGGATGCTATGAGAACAGAAATTGATGCCCTGCACAAGAATGACGCTTGGGAAGTGGTTGATTTGCCTGAAGGGAAGATCTAGTAGGCTGTAAGTGGGTTTTTACTATCAAATATCATGCTGATGGCACCATTGAAAGGTACAAGGCTAGGCTGGTTGCAAAAGGCTATACACAGACATATGGGATTGATTATCTAGAGACCTTTGCCCCTGTTGCCAAGATGACTTTTGTGAGAGTTCTGTTATCTTTATGGACTCTTTATGGACTCAAACAGTCCCCTAGAGCATGGTTTGAAAGGTTTAGGGCTGCCGTTGTTAGCTTTGGCTATGTACTGACACAGTCTGATCATACCCTCTTTGTGAAGAGGAGAGGATCCTTGGTCGTTTACCTGATTGTGTATGTTGATGATATTGTTGTGATTGGTAATGATGTCTCAAGGATTAATGATCTCAAATCTTTCTTTCATATAGAGTTTGAGATCAAAGATCTGGGGGAATTGAGATACTTTCTTGGCATAGAAGTTGCTAGATCCAAGGATGGAATCCTTATCTCTCAAAGAAAGTATGTTCTTGATTTGCTCTTTGAAACAGGGAAGATGGGCGCTAGACCAGTTGTTACTCCTATCGATATGAGCCATAAACTCTCTGCTTCAGATGGAATATTGTTAAAAGATAAGGGAGTCTTCCAGAGACTACTTGGAAAACTTCTTTATCTATGCATGACTCGGCCAGACATTGCATATGCTGTCAGTTGCA